TTTGTCCATACAATGGAAATTAATGGGAATGGAAACTGGTTACCAAAATTCTTCAAAATATCTTCTTTTATTATTTTCAAAAGAAGAAAGAAAGTCATACAGGTTTGGAAAGACGAGAATTTTTATTTTGGGGTGGAAAATCTCTTTAACTCCGATTGTCTGTTTTCAGCTTGATAGACATCATAAGTAGTAAATCTGTCGAACTGATCTCTAAATTGGGTGTATATTTGCATTTACTCACTCTGAATGTGAGAACATCAACCCAGCCCAGACTCTGGGAAATCGATGGGTCTTCTGTATGTTGGGATTGGAAGCGGAACAAGATCCACGCCACAGCATATACCGCAATGTTTGCCACCACTGTAAAAGCATACCTGTTAAGGAAAGCAAACAATTTTATGTATATCAATAACAAAGTTAAATAAGGCCACAATATGTCTTCCATGAAAGCCAAAGTTTAATTTAAAGTCGCAATGAAATATACGTTTAGTGGTTATTCTTCAGTATTCTGATATAGATTGAAGTGTAGCAGATTATTGAAAAAGAAAAATGTAGGCAGGAACTTGGTTCTAACTATCGGTTGTTGATTGGATGGGTGCAGACAATAAGAAGAATAAAACAATAAGATAACATGAATTTTAAAAAATAGCTAGGGTGATTTTTCATTGCATTCCAACTTTAAAATGAGAAAACCATTTTATAGTTTTTTTCCTGTTATATTTCCAAGACAAAATGTTGCTAATAGTGTCACTGACCTTAAAGTTTGGCAACATTATTTCTCTACACTGGTTGTTTGACTTGAGGAGGTAGTGATACTGTACCTGTATGATGTTAGTTCCACTTTGGCGTGCTCACATGTGACCAGTTCAGGAATGAGCGACAGATGGGATATCTGGGTAGCAGCCCAGCCGAATTGGAAGATGATGATGAATGGGATGGCGTAAATCAGTCCTGCGGTCTGTGGGGTTTTCTCATCACATCCAATGCAGGGATTGAATATGAAGGGAAAGGAGGCAAACACGCTTATTGTTCCTGGGAGGAAATGGACAGTAAACTGAACATCAGTGCTGTGTAATGATGACACTCAGGAAGTGACATCATTTGGACCTTTTCTGCAGCATGATGTTGGTTGGTTGCATTTGTAGTGCCTGTTACCCAAGTTATTGTGAGAAAAACAAAGATACAAAACAAATACCTTTCTTTCATTTATGGTAAATATATTTCATAAATATTGAAACTGGTAGACTATTTATAACTATAACCCAACCCTTTGTTCCAATGGTGCTACTGAGTGACAGCTTAAGGCTAAATTTGCAAACCTGTTTCCCATTCTTACATTTTTATAATTCTTTACAGTTTTGTCAGCTTCAAATATTTCCCTATTGATGTATAACGCCAAACACACGAACCACGTACAAAATGTATAGAAAACAACATTTAGCTTTAGTTTCTGAAATTTACGATCAATTCATTGGGGAAACACTTCCGTTTTTAAGTTTCAAAGCTTTATTTTGTAGCCTATTCGTGGAAAGTGCATCTGACAGTCCCCTGACTACAGCTGACGAGCTTCCGTCTAATTTCCCCGTTTGCTTTTAATATGAATCTTGAAGTTTGCAGGGATTTTTAATGGGGTTTCGGCGGAATACCCCTACTACAGATTATTGTAAAGCACCATGGCAACTTGCTTTTATTTTATAACAGTAATCCTATGGAATTTATCCTATGGGAGTAAAAATTCAAGAAATATATCAGACAAAAATCGGAATGCGCTCCTCCACACACCGATCGAAACAGTCCATTTATTGTAGTTACAAACACAGCTGCAAGTTTGAACTCACACTCTTACCCACTAAATGCCAGGTCTTTCTTTTCCCATACTTCCCACATCCTGGCGTCCGATCGGACTCGTAACCGATGAGCGGAGTGCAGATCCCGTCCGCGATCTGACCGACCAGCAGCAGCGCACCTGCGTTCGTATCCCTGAAACCGAGAACCGAGTGATAATACACCAGTAAATACGTGAACCACATAGACGCGCAGAGGTCGTTGAAGAAATGTCCCACGGCGTACGTCAGGCGCCTGCACACGGGTAAAGTTAGCGGCTGATCGGACATCGTGAATGAAGGAAACGGTAAAGAAAGAGCGACTCTCTTAAGCGCAGCTACCAGTGAGTCAAACGACTGAACAGAACTGAACCCTGAATCCCACTGAAAAGGATCAGAGTGATGCTTTAGTTTGGAAGTAAAAGTGAAATGGTTGCTGCCACTGATTGTTTGCATCCAGCAGTGCCCGTTTTCGGTTTTAATTCTCCATCTCACACCCACGCTATCCAGGGAAAGGGGATGTTACTATGACATGATTTTAATAGACAGCACATGCCCTCTTTTAAAAGAGGAAAGGACAATCTACCAACGTCAACTTTGACCCTGTAAACGAAAACAGCACATTACCAGAACTTAAATTTAAAGGTAAGTTCTGGAAGCAACCAAAACTTAGCTAGGCTACACACAAAAAAAGAAGTTAACATATATAATCAAGTGCAAAAATAAATAAATAAAAGCAATAAACATAAATAATTCAATCAATTTAAATATTTCTAATATATTAACCCATAGGTGGTTGCTTGAGCATTGCTAGGCGCGCTTGAAGCGGAGGAATAAGCAATCAAACAGCACAAATATGTTTTAGTAAAACAAAATCAATTTTTGTTCTGCGTGTAACCAATAAAAGCGGATAAAGTAAAAACCTTTAGAACGTAATAATATGATTATTATTTTACAATGGACATCTACAGCTTCAAATGTTTTTCTAGTTTGAAACAGACGGTGTTAGTGTTCCTAAAATACAAATGAAGAATCTACCAGTTACTAAAATAAAAATGCAGAATCTATTAACCCTAATGTGTTAATAAATGACTAAACCAATCGCCTGATAACTATTCTTTTTTTAAACCTCACAAGATGTGATGCACAGTTGACTCTGAACATACGGTCATATGACATGTGACAATACCCCAGACACTTGGCCATACGACATTCATCATAAAGTAATGATTGTGTCACATCTAGCATTTAAAATACACCAAGTACTAAATGGGTCTAATACGAATGACCAGCAGGTACATTAATGAGTCTGCAGCTTATGAATTGCAATTTAATTAAATCCCATTAACTTTTAATTAAATCTTAATTACTTTTGTTTTATACACACACACTATATGGACAAAGGTATTTGGGACACACCTCATAATTATAAAATGTATGCGTTTCAATCAGATCCACTGCCACAGGTATGTCAAATTAAGCATGTAGCCTTGCAGTCTGCATTTACAAATATTTGTAAATGAAATGTGCTGTTCTGAAGAGCTCATCTGTGCTAGATATCTCACGGTCAAATGTAAGTGGTATTATTGGAAAGCAGAAGTGTTTAAGAACAGCAGCAACTCAGTTACGAAGCATGAGACCATGTTAAGTCACAGAGTGGGGTCATTGAGTGCTGAGGCGCGTGGTGTGTAAAAGTCACCAACGCTTTGCTGACTCCATAGCTGCAGAGTTACAAACTTCCACTGGCATTAAAATCAGCACAGAAATCCTGTGGAGGAGGCTTTATTGAATGGGTTTCCATGGCCGAGCAGCTGCTTGCAAGCCTCACATCAAGTACAATAGCAAGCATCGAGTGGTGTAAAGCACGCTGCAACTGGACACCGGAGCAGTGGAAACTCACTTTTCTGTTTGGCAGTCTGGTGGGCCTTTCTAACTGCATTGTGCCAACTGTTAAGTTTAGTGGAGGAGGGATACTGTTATGGGGCTTTTTTTCAGTGGTCGGACTATGCCTGTTACTTTAGTGAAGGTAAATCTTAATGCTTTAGCATACCAAGACATTTTTGAACAATGCTTTGCTTCCAACTTTGTGGGAACAGTTTGGTGAACACCCTTTTCTATTCCAGCATGACTGTGCCCTAAAGCACAATGCAAGATCCATAAAGACATGGTTGGATAAGTTTGGCGTGGAAGAAATTGATTGGCCCACACAGAGCCCTGACCTAAACCCCATCCAACACATTTGGGAATGGAGATTGCAAGCCAGGCCTTCTCGTCCAACATAAGTGCCTGTCCCCCACAAATGCTCTACTGGATGAATGGGCAAAAATTTGCACCAAACTCCATATAATTGTCTATGTACAGATTCTACAACAATAGTCCAAAACCATCAAACATTTAAAATAAACAATGCAATCACTCAAAAAAAATACCAGTGCAGGACACTTGCTTAAATTTGAAACATTTTACTTGGAAAGGCACAAACTATGATTTCCTGGTAAATAAACTTTGACGTGAAAAATAAAACAAGAACATATTTTTCTTCTTTTCCTTAAACGGTCCTTGAACAGATATCAGCCCTGTGCGGGATGCGCTCCCACATCAGTTTATATAGTCTGTCGGTTGTCTCGTCGTTTCATTTCAAGCCCACTTTGTTGTCTTCTTTTTTTTCCCAAAAGTGCAATAACAACAATGACAAGAGAATAATATCCATTTGTCTCTCCGTCCCCCACAGTACCTGAGGCAGTAACTGTGCTACAGAGTCCACAATAACAGAAAAAAATGGAAGAATTTATATATTTTTTAAAAAGACAAAAGGACAAAAAGAAAGCATTTCCAGGACACTACAACTGCTTCACAACCCAAGGATTCCTTTAAATCAAAAATACAAATAAAAAAATTAAATTACAGGGAAAAAAAGACTCCAGAGTCTGGTTGAGATGAAATGTGTCCTGTTATTTTGTAATTTAGTTGGGGGTCGTTCCCAGTGCAGAGGCGACTCCTGCCCTCATGTTTTTAATCACAAATAAGATCTATTTCTAAGAAAACTTAAATCATTTGTTCACTGATGTAACGTCCCCTGATCAACAAACAATAAACGTTTCAAACAGCATCTTTTCACACACTGTGGTCTTATATCATCATTTAATTTCATATCATCATCTTTTCATGTTTGTGTGATTATGTATCTTCATTATTCTCTTTTTTTTTTTTTTGGAAGGAACCAGAGTCTGTTGGACAGTCAACATCATTCCTTTGCACTCCATTAAGTGGTGAAGCATCTATGAAAGAAAGTGTGATGGGGACAGAGAGAGATAGAGAGAAAGAGAGAAAGACAGCGAGAGAGAGATCTGTGTATTTGCTTGCATTTCAAACTTAACAGTGACCAGAATGTTTCAAGTTCTTTTCAAAGAGCGCGCTTCACTTGTGCCTCTGAAGAGCTTTCCTCTTTCTTCTCTTAAAAAAACAACAGCACCTAAAAGAAAATCAGAGCAAAATTTACTACAGACAAAAAAAAAAAGGAAATAATGAGGCATAATGAGGGACATTAAAGCAGTAAAGGGACATTCATATAGCAATTTGCAGAGACAAAATTAGCAATTCGTAAATAATTTATTTTCAATTAGAATTGAAGAGCTATAACGATGCAAAGTTGGCATATCCAGCATTGAAACATTTATGCAAACGAGCAGTGACAGCCAATGGTAATAAAGAGGGCAAAGATGATTTTACAGTGATTAATTGGTCTGTTATGATTCATCACGACCCACATACAGGGATAATATCAAACTAATAATACAATGAGTGAAAAGGTGTCAGCAATTAATATGCTGCATTATTTTATGTAATTTGTATACAAACACCTTTACACTCAGAATATTATTTTTTTAACAGAATGAAAACTGATTTGCTATTTTAGGAACACCATTGGGGGACTTCTGGTGATAATAAACGTACTTTGTGTCATCTGCCACCTCTACTTCAGCGGGTGCAGTGATGGGAGCGTTGGAGTGTCCTGCGGTTGGGTCGTCTGTGTTCAGCTCTCCATTCATGGAGCTCATGACCTGAAGATCACAAAGACAGAAACAATAAAAACATGTCATGCAATCCCAAGAACTGAACTATTTACTTCAGTGAGTCACAATTTACACTCTAAAGAAACATATGCATCCTGTAATAGGTCATTAAAAACTGTGAATTGTAAATTGTAAATATTAAAGATATGAGATTCATATGACCAAAAGAGCACACTTTTCAAAGTATGTGAATTAATCTAATAAACACATGTACTGACTGCTATTTCATCAAAATATAATTTGACAGATACAACACAACAAAGTACTTCCTAAAAAATTTACCACAACCAACTTGTGCAACCACAACACTCATCCTTAAAGATTATACACATATATGGGAAAAGGGAGGAAGCAAAGTATACCGTGAATATGTGATCATTCAAATGAGTCATTAATGACTCATCTTTTTTTTTTTTTTAGGTAGAAAACGTGACTACACTGCAACATTCCCGTTTAAAAAAAAAAAAAAAAAAAAAGTTTGTTTGGGCCTCTCATATTCAACCCATAAAAAAGTCATTTTGTAGAACTTGTAACTGGAATCTTTGTGCTGAGGCAGTGTTATTATTGTTAATTAAAACTAAAAATAATTTTTCTTATACACTAATTTTCAAAGGTTTGGGATCGATATGTTTTTTTTTTTTTTAAGAAATTAATATTTTTTATTCATCTAGGATTCATTACGTTTACCAAAAGTGAGAGTAAAGGTGTTTATAATGTCACAAAATATTTCAAATTCGAACACATGCAGTTCTTTTGAATTTTGTATTCACCAAAGAATCTTGAAAAAAAAAAAAAATGAGTATCAGCTTCTACAAAAATATTTAGCAGAACAATGTTTTTTAGCACCAAAATATAATTCTAGAATAATTTCTGAAGAATAATGTGACACTGAGGACTGGAGTACTGGCTGCTGAAAATTCAGCTCTGCCAAAATAATACATTTATATGATATTCAATGGGGAAAATTATTTTATTTATTTTAATGTTTCACAATATTACTGTTTTTTTTTATTTTTATGAAAGACATGCAGCCTTGGTAAGCAGAATAAAAACTTTTCTTCAAAAACCTAAAAAATTTAAATATCCCAAGCTTTTGAATGTTAGTGTATCACAAAACTGAAAAATTGAAAATAAACCAAAACACATTTTCATGGTTCCAGAACTAATATAAAATCTAAAAAAATGTATTCTACTCTAAATAGATTTGGCAGTAAAACAAAAACAGATTAACTAGAAATCTTTGAAATAACTAAAACACAAACTAAACAAAAAAACTAATTTGTAAAGACAAATTGAAAACAACAGAGAAGTAAAAACTAAATTATAAATTCAAAACTATAATAACCCTGTCCTTAAGATGATTCAAAAGACATAATTATCTTAAGATGTGAGATGAAAAACACCAGATCTGTGTTTGGACCATGGGAAATCATTCCAAAACCCAACACTAGGTGGCACATGTGTCTCATCAAGTGCCTTTCAAATGCACCACATAAGAGTTTCTCTTTTGAAATCTATCAGCATCCATTAGATCCTATCACACCGTGAGCTGCTCTCCAGCTAAAATGCTTGATGGCTTCTATTTAAAACACATGGTATCTCCAAGGAACGGCACTGCCGCCATCTGTAGTGTGTTCAGAGCCTAAAGGAGCCAAGCTGAGTGTCACAGATGAATGAGTGTGCGAAACAGAGAAAAGCAGCCATGCTCACTCAAAAAGCAACACCATGAGCAAGCAGTACCTGCACTGAGCCCCCCAGCCTCTCGGCCGTGAGTTGCGACCCCAGAGTCTCCTTATTGGTCACTGGAGTGAGCTGGGACTCACTTCCTTTGGGCTCGGGCGACTGATCGACAGTGGAAGAAGCATTTTGGGCGGAGAAGCATGGAGGGTGGGCGGGGTGAGATGGATGGAGATTTTGAGGTATGATGGGAAGGGGCGGTGGGTGAGTAAACAAACAAACGAAAAATAAAACATTAAAAAGACATCATCTCACATGCAGAAGCTTGCTCAATTACTAAGATAAAAGTTAGAAGTGAATGACACAAACTAATGGAAATAAAGAAAAAAAAACAGAGTGAGAAAAAATAAACAAAAACCCAGCAAACATGCAGAATTGAGAAAGGCTGCTATTAGAAATCAAAGCAAGAGGCTATTTTTTTAAAAATAATGACATGAACACTACCATTATAACTGTTAACATTGTTTTTTAAAGACATGCAAGTACAAGCAGAGGGGCACATATATGTACAACAATCTTCCACCAGACTTTTAAGATCATTTTATGCTCATGTAGCATGAAATGAATGCAGAGATACTCTGGGTTAAACTGGGATTTTTAATAAAACAAGCAAAATTGCAGCTATATGTTAGTGGATGTACATCAGTACACATTTGATATATTTTATTTAAAGATGTCACAGGAATGAAGGGATGAGCCATAATGAAATCAGAATTTCCAGGGTGGCATTCTGTGCTGCACTGAAGAACACTCTCTGTTTGTTAGTGGATGTATATTGGGAACAGGGGCACATTTTGGCAACACTTTATTTTGTGATTTCACTGGAACATGGATGAGCCACCAAGAAATGGAGTATGTGCTGGAGTTGCGTAATGACAGCAAGAACACAAAATCCAGACAAAGACAAATTTAAAAACAAGTACACTACCGTCCAAAAGTTTTGGGTCAATAAGTGTTTTTTTTTTTTTTGAAGCAGAAGAAATGTATACTTTTCTTCAGCAAGGATGCATTAAACTGATCAAAAGTGACAGTACAGACATGTTACAAAATATTTATATTTCCAAATAAATGCTGTTCTTTTGAACTTTATCAAAGAATCCTGAAAAAAATGCATCTCAGTTTCCACAAACATATTAAGCAGCACTGATGATAAGAAATGTTTCTTAAGCACCAAATCAGCATATTAGAATGAATTCTGAAGGATCACGTGACTAAAAACTATAATAATGGCTGCTGAAAATTCAGCTTTGACATTACAAGAAAAAATTACATTGTAAAATACATTAAAATAGAAAACAATGTAGAACTAATAATATGTCACAATATTACTGTTTTATTGTATTTTTGAGACTTAGGAAACAAACATTTTTGACTTCTTTCAAAATTATTTTAAAATATTATTGTCAACAAACTTTTGAATCATTATTGAGGAATTCCTGTCCTGTTCACATTGTCATAATCATCAAGATAAGACAAAACAGATGTGGAAACATGATATTCATGGACTTTCACCATATGGCCCTCATCTCCAGTCAGAACATTTATGCCCTACAGAAAAAGTGGAGACAGTGCTGATACCGCCACTGAACCGAAAGCATTTTGATTCAGCAGCAGAGAACTTTGTCTCTAAGCAACTGGCCACTAAAACAGATTTGTTTACACCAAGCAAGGCACAACTAACCAGCCTTCCATCCCACTAATTAATCACACGAATGATGTTCAAAAACTGCATTGCACAACTGTAACATCACACCAAACTTGAGCAACTCCTCCAACAACTTTTCCTCTGTCATCAATGTGTATGACCAAAAGCATCAGGGCTTATTCTGATTGGTTGCATATCTAAAGAGGAACAGTGGGCGGGTATACTATATCTGGCTTTGAGTGTGTAAGATACATCCTACACTGCACTGGAGCGAATGAGATGTACACTACGACCACCTAGGGTGAATAAAAAGTGTATAGCGTACTTCCCTCAAGTAGATTCACTCCGAGTTTAACTGTGCACCCAACTCACCTGGTTTTTGGTCTGCGGTTGTGCTTTGTCTCTGCTGCTTGGCTGGGGTGTGTCTGTGGGGATGGGGCCTATAGGTGTAGGCTGTAAAAGACAACAATGATCTCACCATTGAGCATGTCTCTCACACTTATACACTTGGAAATAAACCCAACGTAGCATGACAAAGGCCTTTGACAGTTGAAGTACACAAGAAAAGCATAGAGGAAATATCTGTGGAGGAAACAAACACTCACGAGAGGCTTGCCGACCCAGTCATACTCGTAATCGAAGACATAGCCGTTCCTGTCAAAGAGGTCTGTGAAGAGCTTCCTCAAGTAGTCGTAATCTGGTTTCTCAAAAAAGTCCAGTCGTCTCACATATCTCAGATAGGTGGCCATTTCCTCTGAACAGAAAACAGAAATGGCGTTAGTTCAGGGAAACGATTCACACGCTACTGTGCTTGACATAACCGAATGGACGGCACTAACCTGGGAAACTTTCACATAGCACTTCGATCGGCGTAGCTCGCTTGGTGTCGCCAATTTTCTGGTAACGTTCTTTCAGTGTGTCTGCCTGTATGGAAAACACACAAATGGCTTCTCACCAACAAACTCTTCATGAAAGACTAAACCTGGCTGAAATGTAATTAAGCATATGCAACACATAAATCCAGGGCACGATTTTGCCTCTGGCTAGTTTTATTGAATAGGCAATGACTCGCACAACAAAAGAAGATTGTTTTACTATTTTTTTTTAACATTGACTTTTTCATTCTCACCCTACTGTCATGTGCCTTCCATGTAATCCCTTTAAGTGATGAATTAACAATGGTGTGAGAGACAGTACTTCAGCATGCAAGTGCAGAGCTTCTAACACCTGTGTGCGTTCAGAAGCAACCGCAACGGTCATGTGACTCGCTGCTCTATGACACATGGCTGAGCAACTGAAGCACAACACGAGCAGCTGATATCTGCATTTATTGCCATGTCATCACACTTCTCAGTTACACTACTGTTCAAAAAATTTGGGGTCATTAAGACTTTTCTTGAAAGATATTAATAGGTTTATTTAGCAAGGATGCATTCAAAAGTAACAGCAAAGACATTTGTAATGTTCAAAAAATTCTAATAAATGCTGTTCTTTCATAAACTTTTTAATTCATCAAACAATACTGAAGAGTATCATGAAAAAAAAATCAGCAACATCATTTTCAACATTGATAAGAAATGTTTCTTGAGCAGCAAATCAGCATATTAGAATGATATCCAAAGGATCACGTGACACTGAAGACTGGAGACTTACAGTGAAATTAAAACGTTTTTATTGTAATAATTTAATATTTATATTGCTTTTATTGTATTTTTGATCAAATAAATGCATCCTTGGTGGAAAAACATTAAAAAAAAATCTTACCACCCTAACATTTTCAGCAGTATTGTACATGTGCATAGACCTGAGGATTCCTTTATTAATACCACAAAAAGGTCGCAAAGATCAAAACGAAAAGAAATCATTTCAAGAATGGGTGGTAGAAAAGTGCAAACCTTCAAGCCCTGCCAGGGCAAACTGCCTCTCAGGAAGTACATAAACATATGGCCCAGTGCTTCTAGGTCGTCCCTTCTGCTTTGTTCTGAGGGGGAAGAAAAACAACAACTGTTACACGTCATACTGATGGACAACAGGTACATTTTCGCTGTAAAGTGAGACTGATATATTTAAAACTACACGATTAAGTGGATTACATAAATATGAGTCACTCAAGAAAATGAAAGTATGTAATTTAAGGTGGGTTGCTGATTTTATTATTTTTCCCCTTCACCCAAGAAATCAGTTTAACATTTTGGAAACACAAGGCTGGTTTTCATAGGAAAATGAAAGGAGAGTATTTAGTGCACACCTTTTCCCAAATGTGTGCTGATACTCATATACCGGGCAGTGCCAGTCAGGCTCTTATGCTCTCGGTATGGGATGTGTTTTTTGGTCTCGGGGTCTATGTATTCTTTGGCAAGCCCAAAGTCAATGATATGAATGGTGTGCTGCCTCTTAGACCCCGGCCGCCCCACCAAAAAATTCTCTGGCTTGACATCTCGATATATCAAGCTCCGCGTATGAACATACTCCATCCGTGTTATCTGAAAAAAACAAGGAAGACGCTGTTAAGGACATTCTGGACCAAAAAACAAAACAAAAAAAAAAATCCAACACAAACATGCCAGAGCTGAACGATTCCTAGAAATCATTTAGAAAACAGCCAACAGAAATCCTAAATGTGTAATGAGACAAACCAAAATTGCTGAAAAAAGCTAACAGCCTCTCTGACCAGACGCTTACCAGTTGAATAGCTATCATTAGGACGGTCTTGAGGGAGAAAGTGCGGTCGCAGAGGTCAAAAAGGTCCTCCAGACTGGGCCCAAGCAGTTCCAGAACCATAGCATTGTACTTCCCGCAAGGGCCGAAGTAGAAGACCTGAGGAACTCCCTCTGCAAAGACAAAAGACAAAATGATCATTTAACAACCCAGTGAAATGCAAATGTGGAATCTCAAACTCTTGTTTTTGTCCTTTAGAGAAATGGTTTTGTACTAGGGCTGCACAATAAATCGCATGCGATATTTAATGCGCATCTTGTCAGAAAGCCGGTTCTGTAATCAGCGGTAAATCTCCATCACCTGCGGGCTTTCACATTGAGCAGCATTAACTACACAGAGCCGTTGTTCACTGACGAGCTGCACAAAAAATCGCGCGAATATGAACGTGGTTTTGCGCAACTCGTCAGTGAACAACGGCTCTGTGTAGTTAATGCTGCTCAATGTGAAAGCCCGCAGGTGATGGAGATTTACCGCTGATTACAGAACCGGCTTTACTGACAAGATGCGCATTAAATATCGCATGCAATTTATCGTGCAGCCCTATTTTGTACTATTATTTTCTTAACACCACCAAATGTTTAGCATCCTGTTCACAGCCAGTACAGGCCACCGTCTCCGACAGGACCCATAATGACAATACCTTGAACAAAACATTACTAACAAGCCCTTTGAGAGAAAGCACATCATGCAATTCATTAAAACAGCGACTATCTCATGCTCAGAGTTTACAGAGGGCTGTAAAACAGCTGATCTGTCCCACGTACACGGCACGTTCTCCCCCACAGTAAGAACTCAGTGCACAGACAATGGACATGATTCTAAAAGGTAAATGAAGGCGAGGCTGAACATCATTCAACAAAACTCTTTTGCTTCCACTGAAACTATATAGCATAGTAGGGGTGGGTAATATACCAAATGAAACTATATAGACTAGTATAAATGTTCTACTGCAATTATGCAAAACTTGCATAATTGCATGCAAAACCATGCTTTATGGCGGGGAATGGGCGTTCAATCAAAGACCAAAAAAAGCTTGTACATTAAAGAAAAAAGGCTGTGTCCCCTTAGATATTGTTCCTAACACGACTATTATCAACTAAACGTGAGAAGCCTATACATTTATTTGCTTAGTTTTAAAAAAGCAATGACAAAGACATATTTAAATAAATATAAATATTAAAATTAAAATGAATATTCATGACAGTAGAAATAGGAAAAATTTTCAAATGTGTGAATATATGTATAAATAATTTATAATAATAAAATATATGTTCATATATTATATATACATTCATTCATAATAAAAACGTATTTATTTTTCTTAAATATTGTGCTATTTTTGCTTGTATCACCCACCCCTAGCACCATAGTACAGCCTAAAGTTACAGACCAAAGCAAATAGTCTGGTGCAAATAACAGGTGTTGAGCAGAATTACTTTTTTGATGCGTCTTTGAAAAAGCAAGCATTGCTGTGACTCCACAAAACAAGACCTCAAGGACACACAGTTCTTAACTGCTGCCCACTGCCAGTGTTTCCAATTCAATTCCAGGTCGCCTGTGCCAAATCCCATGTGTGTGTGTGTGTTCTTCGGTCCAATGGTCAGATGCAGACGTGCATGAGACACACTAGGAAAACCCAGCTCCAGGGAGGATTATAGAAGTATTTACCTGATCTGGCAAACATCATTCCCACGGGTGGGGGTGCCCAACACGCGCACACACACACACCTGCCTGCACTTTAGCCAGCCAGATCTATTTGGAAACCACAATGATGATGGATGTGCCCACGGCAAGAGTGCAGCCAGGAAGCTGACTCATCAAAGCACCAGATCGGAGGTTTAAACCCAACGCAAACTCGGCAATCAGAAGAAGGAAAATTACAACCATGCGCAGCTGGATCACTTCCTTGAATTGTAAACAAGGCCAATCGCATGTTTTTAAAAGAGTTTCAAATCATACCGAAAAAATTAAATATTTTAATTATTATATAGGCAGAAAGCATGGTTATGAGAGGAAGCACAGTCCAATTTATCCATGCAGTATGCAAAAAAAGCTGCACAACAGAGAGGAATGTGATGAGCAGTAATTACAGAGGCCACAAAAAGTATTTGGACACAAAGTCACAGCTCTCAATTAGGAATGAACCGATAACATTCCTACTGATACAGAGAAGTTGATCTTTTTCTTTTTTTATGTTATGGCAGCTATCCGATAAAGTGCTAATGATAATAATAATCAAAAAATTTAATAAAATAAATGAATACAATAATTTCAAATTTATCAAAATCATTTATTATTGAGAATAAAATCTCAAATCAATAAATCTTGTCAATGTCAACTAAACAACATGAAATATTGATCAAATATAATGATAGCAAAAGTAATCTAAAAGCAGGCAGAAACATCCAACCACAATTAAATATCATTACTAAGCTGATAATTATCAATGTCAACCAATATTGATAAATAAAAATAATAAAACAAACACATACATGCATGAATTAAAAAAAAAAAATTGCATACAAGCATAAACGAATACAAAAACACAAACAAACAAACCGATCAATCGACTAATGGTGTTAGTCATCAGCATATCATTTTTTTAGTCGATGTATGAAATCAGTTCAGTTCATACATTTTTAAACGTGGCTTAAGTGTCCAATCACCTATGTAGGCAGTCTTTGGCTTTATGGATTTTTTCTGCGGTGCACCGTTGCTAACACTAAAGTTCAACAAGGAGATTTTCTGCCATATCACAACCGCACTCACTCACATCACTAACAGAGCCTGAGAGAAAACAACACAACTCATTGTTCATCAAACACATGTCCTCTCAGAGCAGACGCACTGGAATGTCAAAGTTTAGCACACATGCCCAAGCGAAGGCTTGCATATTAAAGATTCAGCATGTAGCCAGAGAACAACAAGGCCCTGATTCCATTAGCGGGACAGTGGAGAAGAATCAGGGGCTGAAACGTGATCGCTCTGGTCAGCAAAGGTCCCAGTGTGATTCAGGAGATGAGAGGGCTTGCGTCATCCGCCCTGCTGCATAAAACATCCACAGTCTGCACAGCAGAGAGTTCCATGACCCTTTTTTCCCCAAATGTCAGAGATTGAACGCAACGATTGAAAAGCCACTAACCAAGTCAAAGTCACCCCATGCAACTCAGCTAAAAATAACTCTAAAGCTTTAATCAGCAGCACAACAGCAATTAAACATTTAAACACAAGCTATTTAAAACAAGCAAGCCACAGGGCAGCAGCAAATTCCCCTTCATTGCACTTTAAAATGCCTTGAAATAATTGACAGAGGCATAAAACTGTATGACATTTCAAGTACAAAACTGTTGATGGTGCAAACTGTAGGGCTGAAACGATTCCTCGAGTAACTCGAATACAAAAAATCATCGAGGCAAATGATGTGCTTAGGAGAATCGTTTAGTCCATTTACTAGGGATGCACTGAATTTTCGGCCGCCGAAAATATATGCCGCGCCGCCCAGCAGTGTTCAGGTTTCACTCTCCTCCAGCCGTCATCACTGCGCCGTGTGACGTTCCGTTCAATATTCCGCTCTATCAATGTGCATTCTGCTCATTTACCGCTCATGCTCACCGGAAAAGCTAAGTCCGCTCAAATAGCGCAGACAAGAAATTTCTATGTAGTATACTTGTTCCAGTTTGCAGTACTGGGCAACGCTGGTAAAATTTCGTTCACTGATCTGCTCCCCGCTATGCTCTGCTCACATGCGCTGATAATAATAGCTTTGCCAGGGTTTTTATATTTTTATACATGTTTACTTGATATTTCTTGATATTAATGTTTTATGCCTTCATTTGATAATTAGATACACAACACAGCATTTCTGAGGAAAAAGAAAACATTTCATAAGGCTATTTTAAGAATAAATAACAATAAAACATTAGGTGAGAGAAAATAAAACAACTTTATAACGGTCATTTTCTTTAATCATAGCTATAATTATTATAACACCTAAAATATGTTGCGTGTAAAAAGTGTTTGTTTCAGCCACTTGAAGGGTGGGTACATTGTGTGCACATGATCAGGATGGTACCACATCCGCCGCATTTTAAGAAAAGCTATGATTAAAGAAAATGACAATTATAAAGTGATGTTTTATAATTGTCATTTTCTTTAATCATAGCTATAATTATTATAACACCTAAAATATGTTGCGTGTAAAAAGTGTTTGTTTCAGCCACTTGAAGGGTGGGTACATTGTGTGCACATGATCAGGATGGTACCACCTCCGCCGCATTTTGAGAAAGGAAAAACCCTGTTTGCAGGACTATACATTATTTGGATAATTAGTCAAAAAAAACAACAACAACAGTTATGTCTGATTCTGTTGCATAGAACTGAATAAAAATAATACATTGATATTTAATATTAATATATTTTCTGTCCAATTTTCTTTCAATAAAAGTGTGGTTATTTTATTGGCTTGTGTTTTTTAAATTCTGTGTCATTAAAATGTAGTTAAATTAAAAAGTCTTACAAAACTACTTTGTAATAATTATTTATTTCATTAAATAATATAAAGCATTTTCGGTTTCGGTTTTCGACCAAGCACATCCAGAATTCTCGGTTTGGGCCCAGAATTGTCATTTCGGTGCATCACTACCATTTACTGTAACTACATACAGAGCACTGTGTTTGCAACCACATGCTCCTTTAAAGGATTACACACACACACCAGTATGCAGAGAGACATTTAAGAGGGTTTATTCTCCAAATAACTTTAAATTCATGTTGCTGAAAAATGTGTTCTTAAATGTTATGTGTATGGACTCTTGTTTTTGTTCCACGTTAGCTTCCTGCCCACTAATTTTTGCCTCTTACAAAAGCCACAAAGCCTTCTAAGAAGACAGTAAAGGCCTATGTCATGCCTGAGCTGTAGTTAGGCTGAAACTTGAACGTTAAGTTGCACAATGTTTAGGTTTTATTTTTTTATTTTTTATTACTATTATTCTGATTTATGTCTTAGTTTCTGGTTGTACTGTTTACCTTTTTTAAAGTAATTTGAAACAGATTTTTATATTCTTATATATTTGTATTTGCATTTTGAATGTAATATGGCAATTAAATGCACTAAATGGGTTTAGTTTTCACAGTTATTAATATATGCAATTTCAGCAATAAAAATGTGTCTTATCCGATTACTCGATTAATTGATGGAATTTTCGGTAGAATACTCGATTACTAAAATATTCGATAGCTTCAGCCCCAGTGCAAAGCAAAGATCTTATTTATGATAAATGCAGCACTGTGACTAGGGATGTTCATTTTAACCAGTTAACTGTTAACCGACCGTAAGAATTTTTGACCGATGAATACAATCAGTTAAACGGTTCAAAAAGTCATTATTTTTTTTTTAGTAATTTATCAAAATATTTAAAAAGGTTTGCTGCATGGTTAAAATATGCTACACGTATAAAAAAAAGTGTTTTTTAGAAGAAGAAAAAAACAAGTCGAGTATAAGTCGCAAAAGGTCATTATTTTTTTTTAGTAATTTATCAAAATATTTAAAAAGGTTTGCTGCATGGTTAAAATATGCTACACGTATAAAAAAAAGTGTTTTTTAGAAGAAGAAAAAAACAAGTCGAGTATAAGTCGCATTTTATTATTTCTTTCAGAAATAGGTCTAACGCCGATGCGAAATGTTTACAAACATTATAATAAACACTGTAAACATAGCTAGGCTATTTTAGTTCCCCTCACTCCACAACAAATCCTTTCAATTAACAGTATTTAGAAAAGAACAAGAATTAAAAATATAAGAAGCTATAGCTATATAAACAACAAGTTGTGGCGTTCCAATATCCACGTAAAACAAAATGTTTTGCATAACATCACGGCGGTACTGTGATAACACTTAACAGCACAGACTTTACTACATATTTGAACTGAGCATACTAACAGTGGAAGCAACTACTCCTTTTAGTCATAAAGACAATCGGAATCGTAAAAGGTTTGCTTTTATTTGTGTACATTCACAATAAGAACAAATCTTTGTGCTTTTGTAGCGTCGGTTGTCAGTTAGGAAAAATAACCGAAATGAACATCCCTAACTGTGACATCAAATTAGAAAGAGCATGTGGCAATATGCCCCAGGAATATCCTAACATGACCTGGACTCTTTTTCCAGGGAGGTAGAGAATTAACACTCTTCTTTAGCTGCAGGTTTAAGTGAGCAGAGGTTCTCCGGTGGCTTAAGATGAGTCTCACAATGGCAGATCCTCTCAAAGGATTCTCTGCTGGGAAAGCTGGAGGCTCTAGTTTGGTTGTCTCCTCTTAGGCTTCATAAAACCTTTAGATCCAGATTTTACAACTGTGAATCACTGGATCCCACTGGCTTGCTTTGGAAAGCGATCATGTTCACTTTGAAGTGATGGTTATGCATTACCAGAAGGTCAGGTTGTGTAAGATCCAGTATCACACTGAAAATCATAGGTTGAGAAACTTAAAGTCTTTGAAACTGCATTCATCTATTAGGGCTGAACATTTTGAGCCTGGTGGTCTTTTGTCCATTCCAGTATACTGTTATGTCCCATGTCATTTAGGCCTTGGATTCAGGGTCAGGATAAATGACACGCATCAGCAAAAATGCATCAGAGAGGGAGAATAACCTAACACTCTCTGAACCACAAGACACATCAGTCCATAGAAGACAAGTAAGAAAAGGAGCAAAGTTTAAAAGTCAAGGTTTGACATTCTGAGCAATGTAAAATACACCAAAACACCACAAGGGACAGTTAACCCAAAACCAAAAATAATTATTCCTGTAATATACCTCAAAATCTTGTTTATATACGTTTTATAAAAGGATAAATGTCACAAACAATCAAATAAATACAGGGTTTCTGCAGGTTTTATGAAGGTACATTTATGAAGTAAGACATATTTTAAGACCAATTATAGAAAATGTAAGGAATAAATTAAAGGGAACACAACATGTTTTCTAAATATAAATACCTAGGGAGAACACAATGAGTTGTATCAGCAACAGTTTAAAAATACTTTGTAATTATTTTGTAACATTTAGAATTTTGTAAATGTCTGAAGATATTTTAAATCAACATACATTTATTTGGAAAGCAATATTACATATGATTTTAAGGCTTGTTTACTGAGAAAGTGATGAAAGTTAAGTGAGTTTATGATTAAAACAAGAACAAATATCTGGCAATGTGGTAAGAACAATCAACTTAATTCAAAAGGATAACAAGTTTTCATACCCAATGGATCTTCTTTTTGCATCTCATGTATCTTGATTTAAGGATGTTTAGACATTTGTATTGGAAAAAATCCTGACAAAAACACTGAGGAAAATATTAATTCCTTGCAGTGTGTGCAAGATTTAATGCCTTTACTTTATAAATTTAAGATTTTCTGCTCCGATTTAAGACATTTTAAGGCCTTAATGTGTGGAAGCACGAATTAAGACTTTTATGACCCTTTTAAGACCTGCAGAAACCCTGGAAAAAGTCAAACAATAAAACATAAATGATTATACTTTCTTTAGCTTTGTGAAAGACCTGGTTCAAAACAGCAGCAGCAACCTAAACACGATAGCCATCCATGTTTATTTTCTCTTCGCGCACTACTGGACATATGGCTTTCTTCTAGAGAGGAATCAGTCACGTGCTGGACATTCGATAATGGCAACCCAGCCGCGAGGAGTCGTGTAGTTATATATATAGTGGGCCTGCCCTGCACGCCTGCACTTTCACTGGCTATTAATGTTGCAGGGGCGGCAGCAGTGGCTCCGGTGAGCTGGCAGAAGATCAGATCCCGGCTCTGGAGACAGGCGTTCAGTGAATGAGATCATTGCATTGCAGGGTGGCTACGAGTCGATGTGAATAAGAGCCGTACTTCGTGCCAGTCAACCTTCCGGTTCAGTGATCAAATGGATGGAAGCACCAAGGATTTGTACAAGCTGCTCGTCCTTTTCATTGTAGGGCTTAAAAGGATCAAAGTTCAGCCTTCTGGCTTCACAAAATGTATGGTAATTACAATCAAAATGGCCGAGGGTAGCTCTCCAATCTCACAGCTCTGAGATTTAATCCATTATAACCTCATTCATAAAGCAAATGATCATTTAAATCTGGGAGGGAGACACACTGAGGCATGAACACATCTTCTCATAGCGGACTTCCCCTGGGTAACCTCTCACCTTGTACCCCCCTTAATCTCAATCCCATTTTAGACCCTCCTCCTTTTCACTGTTACTTGCTGCTGATGAGTGAAGCAGCCACATCAAAAGGTTGGAAATCACCGCCCCCACAATTCTCAGCACACAACTGAAGGATGATCGGTCTCATACAGGATGAGTAGGTGGCGGTTTTTCATAAAGCATATAACATACGATTCTAGAAAGGCTGTGAGGCTTACCTGAATTTCCCAGCTGTTTATAAAATCTATACTCCAAATGGAGTTGAGGCGCCCTGGATTTGATTGGCTCCTGAAAGAGAAGGAAAAAACTAGGCATTAGAGGATTACAGGAAATAATCAGAGAATCTCTCAAATATAACACAAATGTGACAATAATCCTCAGCTTTAGGCTAGCACAAAGGTAACTTCAGCATCACATATTTCTAGTCACTACACATATCCACCTTTATTTTGCACATTTTCCAACAAAACACATTTTTTACCATTTTGTAAACTACTTGGGGTTGGTAAGATTTTTCTGTGTGCTTACCAAGGGTGCATTTATTTGATCAACAATATAAAAACAGTAATATTGCGAAATTTTCACAATTTAAAATAGCTGTTTTCTATTTTAATATATTATATTTATGTGTGATTTATTCATGACAAAGCTGAATGTTTAGCAGCCATTACTCCAGTCTTCAGTGTCAAATGATCTTTCGGAAATCATTGTAATATGCTGATTTGGTGCTCAAGAAACATTTATTAGTATCAATGTTTCAAAAAGAAGATTATCAATACATAACATATTTTGCTCTGGAAAAATGTATTGTAGGATGCAGTGGAAGTCAGGATAGAAGTGATAATATTTAGTTGCACTGTGAATGTGGCCACCAGTAGGTAAGAACAAATAGGTAAATAAATTAATACACATAATTAAAAGGAGAAAAAAAGGTAAAAATACAAAAAGTTAATCTAAGCAACAAAAAAAGTTAATAGAAATGTGAAGTGCATACAAATGGCACAAGTGCTCTTCTAAAAACTGAAGTGGGATGGCAAAAGAGAAGTCAATGCCAACAACACGACTGTATCAGTTCTCATGGCCAAACTAGCAGCGTGTTCCGTCACCCTCCCACATTTCCTTTGTTATAAAGAATCCATCACTGCACCCTTTATATAAGTCAAGAGGGATTGCCTGGAAAAAACTTTCCAGTGGTTAATGGCCTGTAACAGAGAACACACTGAGCGAGTCTTCAATCAGGTGTCACGTTACAGAGCCGTCACAGTTCAGCAGCCAGGCCTCTCCATCTCCCAGAGCCTGCTAACAGCCAGCGCTCATCCATCCACCTGACCACAGACGTGTCACAAACATGACCTTAATGGTGGCCTTGTGATTAAAGCCAATCAGAAGTTCAAAACCCATGAATCCAATAACAAATATCATTGATTAAAGCACTTAACCACAGGTAGCTCTAGGTGGTCTTCCTATGTAACTAAATTGGATGAAAAACATCTGCAAAAAATTACTTTTGTTTGTACTTTTGTAGTTGTTTGATATTATATCAGGAATAGTTTATAATACTATATAATTAATAATATATATTTATATAGATGCATAAATATTTATAAAATAATTGGAGAATCATTACTGCCAATGCAGAGTAAAATAAAAAAATCTGTACTAAAATAAACTGTAATAAAATTAATAAAATATCATAGACATATACTATAAAAATATAATATATAAACATTTAAATAAAAAACGAATAAAACTGACAAAACACACTACAAAACAATTTAAAACTATAGTTTCTAGTTTCTCACTGATACTAAAATAACACTGCTTCAGTGTCACATGGTCCTTCAGAAATCATTCTAATATACTGATTTTGAGCTCAAAAATAATTTCTTAATTATCAGTTTTGAAAAATTTGAAAAGTGCTTTTTTTCAGGATTCTTTGATCGATATAACATTCAAAAGAACAGCATTTATTAGAAACAACATTTTCATACAATGTCTTTTATGTCTTTTCTGTTACTTTGATCAATTTAATGCATCCTTATAATAGTTTGAAATTTAAAAAAGTTTTAAAGGTTTACTGTGGCATTGAAAGGTAAAATCAGAAGAGTAATGTCTGGGTTAGGTAAAACACTACAGACTAAGAGGGCTCTATGTTCTGGATTCTAATGGTTCAATCCAGCTCATGTTACTTGCTCAGAAAACGGGTAAACACAACAGTGCAGAGCTGCATCTGTTGAGCTGTGATGTAACAGAGGTCAGGCACTCATACGGCTCTTTCCAGGAAGAATAGTGAAGGGATCGGACAGATTAAGCACACCAGAATGTCCATCCAAATCTCTCAGTTTTAAGGGGAAGTGTGGGTGGGGGGGGTTACTGATATAAGATGTAAGCCTCTGGTAAACATCTAAAGTTTGAAATGAAACATTATGCATCTTAAATAAATAAATAACACAGAGATGCAGTTACACTCTTTAAAATCAACAATGCATCATGCATTCAAATCTCTGGGAATCTCCACAGTTTCAGTAACTTTGCATTTCCTTTAGTTTTCCATTTAATGAGATGGAAATGATCTGATGCAGTTAGTGGATTTCATGCAAACTTTTGAAACAGTTTCTGTTCATGCAAATGAGCATCATCATCATCATGAATCACGGTTATAAACAGGATGCCCAAGGCACTGGCACAGGCTCCTATTGTGAGCACTGTGCCCTGTGCAAATACGAGAAATCAGTGCCCTGTCTTAACACCCATAGAGAGCTCCACCCAAAACCACAGACATGCCCAAAAAAGCATTACATTAGTATCTCAAGATCTCTCAGGAAAGTGCTCGGAGCACATAAGTATATCAGCAGACTGCTTTATTCAAATCTAAACACTGAAAATGAAGGTCAAATAACGGTAGAGATATACAACCAACAAATACATTCGCAACCTACACTCACTGCCCACTTTATTAGGTACACGGAATCTCCACAGTTTCAGTAACTTTGCATTTCCTTTAGTTTTCCATTTAATGAGATGGAAATGATCTGATGCAGTTAGTGGATTTCATGCAAACTTTTGAAACAGTTTCTGTTCATGCAAATGAGCATCATCATCATCATGAATCACTGTTATAAACAGGATGCCCAAGGCACTGGCACAGGCTCCTATTGTGAGCACTGTGCCCTGTGCAAATACGAGAAATCAGTGCCCTGTCTTAACACCCATAGAGAGCTCCACCCAAAACCACAGACATGCCCAAAAAAGCATTACATTAGTATCTCAAGATCTCTCAGGAAAGTGCTCGGAGCACATAAGTATATCAGCAGACTGCTTTATTCAAATCTAAACACTGAAAATGAAGGTCAAATAACGGTAGGGATATACAACCAACAAATACATTCGCAACCTACACTCACTGCCCACTTTATTAGGTGCACCTTGCTGACTTTCTGACTGGAAGACCTCAGGCAGTACGGGTCGGCAAACTCATTGTCATGTTCAAGAAACCAGTCTGAGATGATTTGAGCTTTGTGACATGGTGCATTATCCTGCTGGAAGTAGCCATCAGAAGATGGGTACACTGTAGTCATAAAGGGATGGACATGGTCAGCAACAATACTCAGGTAAGCTGTGGCATTTAAACGATGCTCAATTGGTACTAAGGGGCGCAAAGTGTGCCCAGAAAATATCCCCCACACCATTACACCACAACCACCAGCCTGAACCGTTGAAACAAGGCAGGATGGATCCATGCTTTCATGTTAAATGCATTGAGTTGCTGCCATGTGATTGGCTGATTAGCAATTTATTTTTCCTCTAAAATATGATGCATTTCAAAGAGAGATGGGATATTCAACAAACAAAACAAAAAAAAATATTTTATTTATCGGGATTCAGGAATTGGATCATGAAAAGTGGTCGCTACTACATGAAAAGGATAGGAGTGGTTAAAAAATAAGAGGGCTAGATGACATTAGCTGAAAGAGAGAGTTGATTAAGGCCCAATCCCATTTCTACCCTTGAAGGTCAAGTTAATTTTATTTTCTCTATAACATCAGATCACAACAGAAGTCATTTAAAAAGTTACCTTTCCTATAAAACATGTCTATACCTTGTTCTTTTTTTAAACACTAAATAGCCTTATGTTATTTATCTTATTTACATGACGGCATGTCATTTCTGTTTCTACGTTACATGGTCGCGCTCTCTGTATCACGCAGACACGCACAGCGGAGTTCCGCCCCGATGCGCACACACAAGTGAGCACACTCCCACTCCCACTAGTATTTGTAAATATTAAGCCGCAAAACGACTACTTAAATATGAATTCTGCGTCTCTCTGTGTTAATGAATGGTGCAGACTCGCGGTTTTGTTTACTACTCATACTGAAGCGTGCGTGACGCTTCCGGTGATATTATCATCTGCCGTCTCACTAATGAAGACATAAATACATGAACATCTTCTCCAGAACTGCTCTAACACACGAACAACATCTCAAGAACTGCTCTGAGAGTCACTTCATGAGTATTTTACCGTTTCATTTGAGTAAAGCTAGCCTCATATCATATACACACAGAAATGTAAAGGTATTCACGGCAACCCATCAAAATAAAAGTTCGGTTTAACTTGATTGATAAATATATTAGCCTACTATTGTTCAGTAGAATAGGCTACTACTACTACTACTACAACTAAAATTATTAAAACCTTATTTTTAAGGAATAATCATACAATATTTCTTCAATGTTTTAATTGTAATATTAAATCCCCCTTATATTATAAAATAATATAATCAAGTGTGGTTGAAATAAATTATGTCTAAATGCAAATAAAGTCTAATACAGCAGTAAACAACAACATTCGCAACCCATTTGTCCGCTATACTATGATCTTTGTACTGCAACCGAGGACATCAACTAGTCCAAAATCAGTTCCTCTTTGGCTTTCCAACTGACTTGAGCTTTGAGTATGAATGTACAGTCTCCCCAAATGACACAACTTTAGGCCAGCGAGAGGGGACAACCACGAAAAGCACTTCTACAAACTGAAGCTTTAATGTCATTAAAAAGCTTGAAAGATGATACTGAGCAAATCCACTGCGCAGAAATAATTCAAGAGTCCATGATCTCATTTTAATGTGAGGCTCTGTGCCTTTACACCCATGCCATTATGAAACACATAATCCAAAAAAATTACTGTGAGAGGCTGAACGGAGTTAATCTTTGTCAGTCAGTTGTAATTGATGATATAATCTGCTGCATTAGAGGACGTTAGTACATCTTAACATGGAGGATAAAGT